AACAAAATATAATGTACGAATGTATCGATCCTCCAAGTCTCAGGTCCAGGATACCTATCCAAAGTATATGAAAGAGAGAAGTTTGGGGAGTGAGCTAGGGAACTCAATTTATTCTAGCAGTGCAAAATAAAAACATACAGTTAAGTTTCAAAATCGATTCATTATCAAAGTTATGAAAACGATAGTAAAATTCTAGGTTAAAATACAGAACAACCCTCCAACCGTACGCCATATGCAGTTCCCCATAACCATATGCATAAGCACTTACCCTAGGCCCAAAGGGTGTAGGTGCTAACCTAAGGAAGCACCTTATGTCCATAAGGTCTTATCCTAGCCGAAGCGTAAGTCTTCACCTGAGGGGTGTGCCCTCAGACCCATAAGGACTTACCCAATGAACATAGTAGAGGATCCACCCTAAAGGAGTACCTTAGGGTCCATAAGGTTTTACCACTAGGCTATTAGGCCCAAGAGCCCACCTAAGGGTCGCCTTAGGTCTATAAGGAATTAACAGCTTGATCGGTGTTGAACTTGCATGAAGAATTGCCAGTTTGATTGGAGCTGAACATGCAGAAACCTCATACCAGATCCCAGAGTACCTCGAAGATAATAGTTTTTAAACAGTAACTAACAGTAGCAAGAAAATCAGAGTTTCAACAGATATCAATTCAGTAAAAACAATAACCAGAGAACATGAAAGCATGCTTAAAACTTCAGTAAATTAGAAATCAGTCTTGAAACAGATAGATCATGTGAAATTAAATTAGATCATCTAGCCATATTGCAAATCAGGTAAAACAATCATGTGCACATGATATTTCAAACAAGTATATAAAATAGATATATGCATATAGCAGACAAGGAACACACCTTGCAAAAAGAATCAGTGTGGTAGAACTATCATGCACCGTCTTCACTACGTTGTTCGAATGTACGAGAACCTAAGTCATATCAGAAAAAATTATTATCAGAGTAGTACACTAAACTTACTATTTAACATGGTTGCAGACCTATACGAGTAATCACGGGCTCTTACAGACGAACGGATCGGGAGAAACCGGGCCGAGCAGATGAACTGTTAGGAGAATCACATGTACCTTAATTAAACGACATAATAATTTAGTCCTTGACCATCAAATTAAATTAGATGCACTTAATTAAATCACATAAATGAATACTTCAATTACATTTTCATATTCGAGTTTATGGGTCAATTCGGAGGCTTTCAAGTTAGAATATGGCCAAACGGACTTCGAATTCAGAATCATGATGTCGAAAAACATAAAATATGACTTTTTAAAAATTTTGAATTTTTGGTCAAAGTTAACGGTCAAACTAGTCAAAGTCAACGGGTCTAGTCAATGGTCAACAGGAAGGTCAACGATTAGGTCAAAATCAACATATCAGACCAGTTTGAGTTGACTCAGGTCGGTTCCCGTTGACTTCAGTCCCAATTGACTCAGACTGGTTCGAGTTTACTCGAACATGTTCTAGGATGTTATAAGGCCGGGGAGGAGCCCCATGTGCACGTGAAAATAATTCGACAGTCGAGGTTCTAGGATGTTCTAAGGTCGGGGAGGAGCCCCATGTGTAACGGAGACGATAGGGTCGCAGACGACAGTCGAGCACTCTGACAGCTTCAACTCACCCAAAACGATCTACAACAACCATTTATTCAACCTTAATCCACGATAATGAACGGAAGAAGTCTAAGAAGCTTACCCGACGGCAGACGGCAAGAACGCCGATGTCGACATGCCCCACCAGTTCAATTTTTAGTGGATAGCGACGGGGAGCCTAGTTGAGGTGGCAGTGAGGCGAGCCGATGATCGAGACGACTAGAATCAAGGAAGAACGATGCGTAACCTAAGTTTCTCCGGAGAACTTCGAACGGCTCCCCACGGCTAACGACGACGGCTAACAACAATCAGCCATGGGGGTTTTGGTCGAATGGTGATGACGCTTCGACTTGTGAGGGCGGTGATTCCCACCGATGAGCGGTGGCCAAAGAAAGACGATGTGCAACCAAATGAGTTCCTCATTTGCACGCAATGAACGACAACTGACTCAGATGAATCAGGGGTCGGGATCAGGTCGTCAGACTAAGCTGGTTTTGATGGTGGTGTCGAGGCACATCGACGACAGACGGAGCGGGGTGGATCGTGGAGGGCCGACGGTTGGGGTTAGGGAAAAATTGGAGATTTTGGGTTGTTCATGCTGGGGGGTTCTCTGATTTTGGTTTTGTTTTTGGTATATCTCAGCCAAAACAATTAAAACATATTATTATTATTATTATCATTATGAATAGTAACCTAGGCTTGATGGCTAAAGCATGGGTGGCCATAGGTTCAAGCGTCCTTAACCACATATTTGTCATTTTAAAATTTTCACTACACCCAAAAATAAGGAAATCAGTGACTAAGTCCCTGAACTTCCCAAATATACAAGATTAACCTATAATTTTTCAAAACTAATCATTTTGGTCCCTTAATTAAATTAAATTAAATTAATTAAATATATTTTAAATTAAATTTGGGGTATGATAGAGAAGTGACACATATTTCATGAGTTAATTACAGCTAAATAAGATCATTAATTTTTGGCACTAATCGACATTCTTAATCGTTTCATGTGACACCTTTTACTTGCTTTAAAATCAAAGAGGGATTCGAGTGCTCCAACTCAAAGTTTCACGTGCCAAACTCCAGTAATAACCAAATTTGGGAAAGGCATAAAACAATAAGACTCCATGCTAGTTGTGTTCCTCCCTCTACGCTGATACGTATATATATATATATATGACTGACCAAACAATGTAAAACTTGAACTGCCTAGCTGCGTTTGGTATCACTCACCAAATTACACTAATGTCTTGTTTTTATCAATCTTACTCTGGCAAAGAAGATATCTCTATACACTATTTGTTGGGTAAACTACGTATTTAGTACTTAAACTATCAGTTTTGATTCGTTTTAATACATAAACTTTCAAAAAATTTCAAAACCATACCTAAGGTTTAATTTTTGTTTCATTTTAGTACCCGTCGTTAAAATTTTAACGCGTTTAGTACCTAAACTATCAGTTTTGGTCCGTTTTAATATGCAAATTTTTTATTTTTTTCAAATCTTAACGTTAAGTTTTTAACGGAAGTACTAAAATGAAACAAAAACTAAATGTTAGATATGATTTTGAAAAAAATGAAAGTTTAGGTAATAAAATAGACCAAAACTGATAGTTTAGGTACTAAACGCGTAGTTTACCCCTATTTTTATAAATAGTATAGGGTGATTGTAAGATAATATTTGTTTAAAATTGTTCTTAATCATTGATAATGACTACATATCCTTTAAACAAAATTGCTCGAATCTAAGACTTCTAGAAAGAACAACACTTCCTATACATGCACTTTAACCGATATTGTACATTATCATTTTAATGTGTCTCAAATTTTATACCATAATTTTAATTTTTGAGATTTTATTTTTATAGAATTAATCTTTATTTTTAAATTCTAAAAAAGTAAGAATAAATCAATTTGATTATTTTAATAGTCTAGGGTGATTACAAGATAATATATGTTCATAATCTTTCTTTGTCATTGGCAACATACTCCTTGCAAAAGTAGTGCCGATGTGACACATAGATGAAATTTTAAAATTTTCATCTTTCAAGGAAGAAGATAAAAAAAAGAAAAGAAAAAAGGGAATGACATGGATGACACGTAGATTCCATATCAATAAAAAACAATCCACATCAACACATGTAGTTACCCTGTCGTCCTTCCATTTTTATGATTTAACATCTTAATGATCAAAGATAGAAACAAATCGAACGTTAAATAAGTAAATTTAATTTCCTTAAAACCTTTAGTTATCAGAATAGAAATGAAAGGAAAGCTGACTGATGAAATTTATAATTTACTCAAAATAAAAATAGGGTAAACTACATCGGATACCATCATACTTTATGCGTAGAATCGTTATACCACTGAACTTTCAATTTTGTCAATTATAGCATTGAACTTTGATTTTCGTTGCAATTATGTCACTAGGTCGTTAAATCGTTAACAATCTAACCAAAACTATGTCGTTTTTGTGAGGTGTCTACATCAAAGGACGTTAGCATGTCGATAGCCGTCAGTCACATCATCATGTCGTTAATGATTTAACGGTTTAGTGGTACATTTGAAACGAAAATCAAAGTTTAGTGCTATAATTGAAAAAAAAAAAAGTTCAGTGGTATAAATGATATAATGTCTAAAGTTCGGTGGTTTCCAATGTAATTTACCCTTAAAAATAAAAGAGGCCGGGTCTACCGAACCCTAGAAAAGGGCATTTACTCTCGTCCACTATCCATAGAACTCCTTCCTCCATCACACCTTTTTAACTTACAATTCAAAGATCCATTTTTAACGGAAACTATTTTCATGTCTTTTGTCTATTATTAATTTACTTACTTTACAATCTAAACACCAAAACCCTATCAAAAAGTAGTAAAACCAAACACACCCTCAAAAATTCACATTTTAACTCATACTTTGGATTTTAATTGCCCTAAAAAATACCAATAAAATATGACAATTAAATTAATTTGGACAGTCTTGGTGCTGACACGTGGACAATAGTGAAAGTGTAGTACATGTGCATGTGTCACAGCCAAGTGATTCTAACATGAAGCAAGCAGTTTTCTTGACCTGTGCACTGGTTTATTGGGGTAACCTCCATTAGATGAACCTATCAGTTTTGCAAAATTAAAGGAGCCAGTAATTTTCATTCTATTTTCAGCATGTAATAACAACCCATTTTGATATGTTACATGTTCTTCATACATACGTTTTTTAAAATTTATTGATATGTTTTAGGAGAACAGTAAATTAGCCTTTAATTTTTTTTAAAAAAAATAATAGTTTTTGTATCATAGTATATATCTGTTGGAGGAATACTTGTCAGCTACTCTCTCTTTTTGTTTAGTTTTTCACTCCCTCCTTTAAAACTCTCCGGCAACCGTGTTTGATTGATCTCCGGCAATGGACAAACATAAGTGTACGTTATGTTTCAAAAGCTTTGCAAATGGAAGAGCTTTGGGTGGTCATATGAGGTCTCACATGTTCAATCTTTCTCTTCCTCCTAAAGTTGCAGACCATGAGTTCGAGTCGGCTTCTGCCTCTTATTCGTCGTCGGAGGAGGAAGCAGAAGAAGAAGGGGAAGAAAAAGGACAGTCTTATGGGCTTCGAGAGAATCCCAAGAGAAGTGTTCGGTTGGTAGATCCTGTGTTTGTCCATGCCGGCTCCGTTGTTCTTCAAGACAGAGAAAGTGAGACCGAGTCCTCTATGAACCCAACTCGGAGACGATCTAAACAGACTCGGAGAATACTAGGAGAAGAAGAAAAAAGAAAGAAGGTTAAAGTTAACAACAAGGGCAACCAGCCGAGTAGGACCGAATCTTGGGCTGAGCCAGAATCGGTGAGTTCGATCTCCGACACAACAACTGAAGATATCGCTTTCTGTCTCATGATGCTTTCAAGGGATAAATGGAAAAGCAAAGTAGTACATCAAGATGTTGATGATGAAGAAGAAGAAGAGACATATGAATCACAAAAGTACTTCAAAACAAGCAAGGTTAATAGAACGAGTCGAGGTAAGTACAGGTGCGAAACGTGCAGCAAAGTTTTTAAATCGTACCAAGCACTGGGTGGACATAGAGCGAGTCGCAAAAAAACGAAACCTTACTCTTCGGCAACTCATGAACAAGGGTTTGAACCAGAAAATGTTGGCACTGGTAGTTCAATGACAGACAAGAAAATCCATGAATGTCCTGTTTGTTTCAGAGTCTTCTCATCTGGACAAGGCCTTGGTGGACACAAAAGATCTCATGTAATAAATGGTCAAGTAGCAACATCTGTTAAAATTTCCAGAAAGTTAAGAGACAGTTTCATAGATCTTAATCTCCCCGCTCCGACCGATGAAGATGAGGCTAGCCAAATTGAACTTTCCGCGGTGTCTGATGCTGAATTTGTCAACCGCATCAAGTGACCAACAAGGTTTACAGCAATGTTTGATCTGTTTTTAGCATCCAAGATTCTTCTACTCTATTCTAACTGTAATTCTTTCCTTTGGGTGTCTTTAAAGTTGTGCTTGTAAGAAACCAGATCATTAATTACAACTCCCCATGGAAGACAAGACTTTTAGACATGATTTTGTTATTTTCTTTGTCACTGTTGGATTACATTTTCTGGGTTGGCTTTAATGAAGAGAGCAGCACTGCACTAAACAAGAATTATTGTTTCCGGTTTCCTACTTTCCGGTTTCAAGGCTTCACTTTAACAAATACGAACTGATCCACGACGCCGTTCCTACTTTTTCAAAACCCAGTTTTGTTTTCTTTTTCCCTAGTGCAAGAAAAGGTCCTTATCGAAGGAAGGTTCTTAAAAAAAGATTTTTGTTTGTTTCTTTGTTTTTAAACTTTAAGAAAGGGTGCTACTGAAGATCATTTCAGCATTTCATTTTGGTGCCTGGTTTTTCTTTACCCTCTGTTTCCTGTCTGAAACCGTTTCATGTTTAACCTACAAATCTGCAAATCAGTACATTTGGTACGGAGATGACATTGAAATTGAATCTGATTTACTATAAAAACATTTCCTCATGACAGAAACAAAACTTGAAAAGGGTAAAAAGTAAAGCCAAATACCCTGTTTTATATTACTCAGAATAACTTGTCTGTCTTAGCTTGGGTAAAAGCTAAGTATCCTACTGACTCAATATCAGCAGTGTAAGAAAAAAAAATTAGGATATCCTATTACTCTATCATATTATTTTGTTGAGTTATTCTATTATTAAAAGTTATAAAATGATATTTGACTATAGTAAATTGCTTTGTTCAATCCCTCAATTATTAAAAGTTATAAAATGATCATCTCACTATTCATTATATTCCAAACTTTCCTTTTTTTGTTAAAACATCAATAGTCTTTCGAGCTGGACTTTAATATGCTGACTGAGATATAATAGTCGTTTGAGATTATGAGATCATATTTTATCATATCTTAGTTAGCAAATTAACGTCCAACTCAGAACGCCTTTAATTTTTTATCGGAAAATGACGAGTTTGGAATATAATGAATTATTGGGTGAACATTTTGTAACTTTTAATAATTGAGAGACTCAACAAAGCAACTACTTATAGTCATGGGATCATTTTATAACTTTTAAGAATCGAGGGACTCAACAAAACATTATCCTATAGTCAAGGGAACATTTGCGTTCTTTACCCAAAAATTTAAAGATAAAAATATATTTTCAAACAATATTATAAAAAAATATCTAAAATATATAAAAATTAAATTTTTTGGGTGGACAGTGATGTTTATAATATAAGTAATAAGTAGCAAGGTAGATAGAAGGTAGAAGTGCATTTTGTTTTGGTTTGTTTAGGGGGAAGTTCTGCTGTGAGGCGGTTAAAATACGGCTAAAAAACAGCGTGACTAGTTAAACAAGTGACCAATTAAAATTGATATCGAAAATGTTATATGATTTCACCGGAAATATTATTTGAGTTGATAATAATAATGGTAATAACCGATTATGTTATCATCCTATGTAAAATGCGCCAAAAAAATATTGACGATAATATAACCAGTTAATTACTGAAAACATTATCAAGCATAATAACATATTAGGCAACACTTATGTAATAGGTAGCGCATTTTTAAAGTTGATGGGGCCTTAAAAATCCGACGATACCAAAATAGGTTAATTACTTAATTTGTCATTAGTATTATCAACATATTAGGTAACGCCTAAAATGTTACCAAAGTTTAAGTTGATGGAGCCTTAAAAATCCTACGATAACATAATCGGTTAATTATTGGAAACATGATCAAACATAATAACATATTAGGTACTACTTATATAACATAATAGGTAGCGCATTACTAAACCTGATGGGGCTTTAGAAATCTCACGATAACAAAATAGGTTAATTACTTAATTTGTTATCAGTATTATCAACATATTAGGTAACGCCTAAAATGTTACCAAAGTTTAAGCTGATGGAGCCTTAGAAATCCGACGATAACATAACTGATTATTTACTGGAAACATTATCAAGTATAATAACATATTAGGTAGCGCTCTTGTAACTTAATAGGTAGCGCATTATTAAAGGTGATGGGGCCTTATAAATCCGATGATAACAAAAATAGGTTAATTACTTAATTTGTTATATGTATTATCAACATATTAGGTAACGCCTAAAATGTTAACAAAGTTTAAGCTGATGGAGTCTTAGAAATCTGACGATAACATAACTGGTTAATTACTTGATTTGTTATCAAGCTTTATCAACATATTACCATGTACATTGTTTACGCATATTATCATGATAACGATTTAGTTGAACCATTTTCATTGGAAATTAATCTATTACTTTAAAGTAATAGGTTTCGAAATTATAAGTATGGAATATATATATATATGTTTGTGTGTATGTGTATCAATACATTTTACGTGCAGATTGTTTGAGCCTTTATGTAAAATTAACCAAAGTTAAAGCTGATGGAGCCTTAGAACCGACGATAACATAACTGGTTAATTACTTGACTTGTTATCAAGCTTTATCAACATATACCGTGTACATTGTTTACACATATTGTCATGACACCGATTGACTTTAATGTTTTCGTTGGAAATTAACCTATTACTTCTACAATGCTCTTTATATATGGGTTATCAGAATATTGGATTTACACATAAACACATCTACAATGCATTTGAAAGAGTTAAAGCAAAAGAAATCGTCAATAGGGGTCTCAATGCACCAATTGTTTACTTTAAACTGATACTTGAAGTATCGATACTTGGAATTTCGAAACCTATTACTTTAAAGTAATAGGTAAATTAACAATGTAAAAAGATAAGTCCATTCTTTCTTAGAATCCCTCCATGTTTTATGCAACGACGAGTCCTTTCCATATGTTCCCTTGTATCATATACTTGAACTTTGCCAAACAATCTGTAGAATAGAGTCTCCCGCAAGTCGTGGCCGGAATCAGTTCTATAGTTGGGATTATCCAAGTTAATCATGTTGACTACATAGTCAATAAAACTCCCTTGCAGGGTCCAAATGGTAAGCTAAGAATTGGTAAGACAAGCTTTCTTTGAGGGTTTAGGGACTCAACCCCTCCCAAGTAAGGACTGTATGATTGAACATTACATACAATAATTGTATTCAGTTCTTGAAAAATTATTCTTCATTTTATATAAGGATAGTTGTAATGATATCTGTTCACATTTTGAAACCAATAAGTATAATGCATGCAGTCGGTTAATTTCGAATAGTCTTTCAATATCATCTCCCAAAAGCCCACAACATGGTCAACACTTGTCATTTCTTCCAACGCCATATTATGCATTTCCTCGACAATCATTATTAATTGACCATCTATAACACTACTTTTCAACATTTATTAATTTAACTCATCGCTAAGTATATAGAATGTAGCCAATCTTCTGATTCCTCGATATCTTATTCGAATCATAAACCAACACCCAACCGATCAAATCAATAACCTAACAAAATTAATTACATGATTACAACATATTCACTAGGTTTTAACAATTTATACTTTCTACTTACCACACCACTAACCTATGCCATAGGCTTTAACGTTGCAATATATTTCAACATCGCTGTATGAGGAATTTGGATTAATATTTTGTCATGAAATATTTAAATATCACTCATAAACCAATATATTTCACTGACCTCAATTGTAACCCACTATTCCATATATATTCACACATTTCATCATATGCACCTATTTCTCTTGGTATTTTCACTTTTTCAACCTAAAATTTTGCTTACAAATATTATTCACAAAACAATAATAAAAAATCAAATTCAGTTTTCTTTTATTCAGCTTACCTTCTGTTTATTCTTCTTAGGTGCAGGACACTCTGAAACCAGCTCAGCATCGATTATAATCTCTGGTGTCCAATAATATTAACATCATTTCTCCTCACTTCATACATCTTTTCTTCTTTATATTTTTTAAATTCGTCGTATTTTTCCTCCACATAACTCTTCATATCTTTTATTTCAGCCTTTATTTTTTTTATCTTCATACAATTTTTTCTCAACCACTCCCATCACCCCCCTTAAATTCACCTCTCAATTCCACCACTTCTTTCACCACTCCATCAATTTTTCCACCCACTTCCCCCTTAAAGCTCTCAATTGCTCTTCGATTTTGGATTATCTTGCAAACAATTAGAAATGGCTTTTTTAGCTCCGCCAACTCATCCATCAAAATGTCAAATTTACTTGAACCACCATGACCATAATCCCCATACTACCTTCTCTTCTTCCTTATGTTCTTTCTTATCTTGTTCATTCTCTCCTTCTTCTTATTCCTCCTCTACCTCCTTGCCAACAACCTTAAGAATTAAATTACAATATTAATATATTAGATTATATTCTTAATATTATATAATCACTTTTATTTCTCTTTCTTGTTTGCTCGGTCTTTCCAACTTCAACTTCGCCACCACTTTAACTACTTTTTCCTTCCCCCATGCACGGATGCGTGCCACTCCGGTTCTTTGGAATGTCGGCACACTTGTACAATCAGACAAAAAATCGAACAATACAACCTATATTTATAATGAAATTTATCATTTTATATCACAACTATATTATCATTTTATATAAAAACCCAACACATCCTTCAACTCATTTACCTCTAAGATTGATATGCACCCTTTGAGGTATGTCTGGTTTCGGCCCTTCTGAAAGCTGATTATTGATTCAATCAATCTGACATGAACATATTCAGCCCAATTCAATTCACCTTTCAAGCCTTCATCGCAAATCAAATTCATATTGTCCTTGCTCGGGGATGTATCACCCATTGGAAAAAGAAAGATTCCGAAAAGGTACAATAGTACTCGGCCTTTAGGTTATCCCCCTCGTAAGTTCCACTTTTAATTTTCTCTTCAAGTCCATCATATGTCACCTTGGGCTTTAAATCATATTCCATCGCAAGTGTTTTCTAGTTCTTCATCTTAATGACTTCTTCAACACTATTTCCTTTAT